CAGTCGGTGGTTTCCACGAGCTGGTAACTTAAATGGGTGTCCCAGATCATCCTTTAATTTGTGACCAACTCTGAACTTTTGTTTTGTTATAGAACATGAGAATTTTGCCCTGCACTTAATCTTCAGCCTTGTAGTAAGATTGATTCAAAATCAAATTGCGTTCTGCATTGAAAATGCAAACAAACCATCTTATGCTTCCACATATAAAGAAAAATGAAAATTCATGTGGTCTCTACAAAGGCACTAGGAGAAAGAAGCAGCAAGTTTCCTGCATAGGCTGTGCTGATTTCCATATATTTTACATTAGTGTCTGGGACAAACATAATGGATTTGGGGTATGATCTCAGTCTCCATTGAAGTTCTCTCTGGTTAAGAAAAGCAAGGTCATACCGTGTGGGAGTTGGTGTGACACTTGTCACACATTCAGTATGTAGCAGAGAAAATGAAATTTTGGGTTAAGCTCTCCTGTTTGTCCCTCCTCGCGTCTCATCTCCCGCGGGTCTTGTTTCTCAGGCGTTTGCCCTTCCAGCCTCACATTCCTGTGCTGAGGAGCCCAGCGGGGACATGGGGCTGCAGAACAGCCATTTTGAGTGACGTGCTCAGGAGCTGCTGTTCCCCCCACAGGGATCTCCTGAGTGCGTCAGGCAGGGCCAGCACCACCTTCCCAAACACCTTCTGTCTGTTTGCTATACTCTCTATTTGTTGGAAGAAAATGTCATCTGAACACAGGAAGCAAGAGAGTAATTAGAGATTTGGGGTTGTTTTCAGGGACCAATAGTTGCAGCATGTACTTGGCTGTTTCTTAATATAATGAGTGAGTTTCTACAGGATAGAGCCACCGTCACACCTTTTGTCCTCTTTTCTCCTCACTTATTTCACTCCCTATCCATATATTGTCCCTTAATTCAAGGTGATCTTAATATTTTTGAGATGGTCTTAATGTTTTTAAGATGTGGGGACAGCAGGGCAGACCTGTGACTTGTTACCACAACGAAAATGCCAGGGAAGAAAATCCATGATGGTGAAAATCTCCACCTGCCTGGACTCATGCCATGCAGTTTGCATCTGCATGTTAAAAGAACTCGAAATCCACAGCTTGGTTGAAGAAGTTCGAGCAGCTGGTGGTGACACTGCAGCAGGTTTCGGGAGGGTGTTTTTCAGCCTTTGCTGGGCTGTTTGAGCTCTAGTGCAGCTGATCCCCAGCTCTTGCCCTCCTGATTTTCTCTCCTTGGCGTTTCAGCTGTTTGCTCCCTGGGCTCCTGCAGGGTCCCTGCCAGGGAGAGATATCCCTGGAGCTCTTCTCCAGCCCGGAGCTGCCTCAGCCCAGCTCTGCTGCAGGAGCTGGCAGCTGCAGGAGAACCAGCAAGGGCAGGTGAAGGTGTTTCTCCTCAGACCCTCCAACACTGTCCAGTCCCTTCTTCAGTGAGGGATCAGGATGAGGGGCAATGGGCACAGGCTAGAACATGGGAAGTTCCATTTAAATATGAGGAAAAACTTGTCTCCTGTGAGGGTGACAGAGCCCTGGGACAGGCTGCTCAGGGAGGGTGTGGAGTCTCAATCTCCGGAGACATTCAAACCCCCTGGATGCAGCCCTGCGGAATGTGCTCTGGGCAATCCTGCTGTAGCAGGGAGTTGGACTGGATGGTCTCCAGAGGTCCCTTGCAATTCTGACAATTCTGTCCCAGGGTGAGGTGATGCTCCAGGACACCTCACTCACCTGAGGTCCCAACTGGTGCTTCCACCTTCCTCCCAGGCTGGGGCTGGGCACCTGTCCTGCTCCCCTTCATCCTGCCCTCCAGGGAGTCACTGCCCACAAGAGGTGGGTACAGCTTCCCTTGGGTGTAGCAGGGGGTTCCATCAGGAGAGCTACCAAGCTGGTGCAAGGTCTGGAAAATAAGTCCTATGAGGAGAGGCTGAGGGAACTGGAGTTGTTTAGTTTGAGGAGGAGGAGGCTCATTGCCTTCTACAGCTCCCTGAAAGGAGGTTGTAGGGAGGTGGGAATTGGCCTCTTCTCCCTAGTGAATAATGACAGGATGAGAGGAATGGCCTGAAGCTGCACCAGGGGAGGTTTATATTGGACATTAGGAAGAATTTCTATACTGAAAGAATGGTTGGGCCCTGGAACAGGCTGCCCAGGGAGGTGGTGGAGTCACCATCCTTGGAAGTGTTGAAAAGAAATACACATATACTGCTTAGCAACATGATTTAAGCACTGAACGGGTAAATTAGGTTATCGCAGGGGGAGTTAGGTTATGGTTGGACTTGGTGATCTTCAAGGTCGCTTCCAACCAGGGTGGTTCTATCATTAGTTCCATTATTAATTCTGGGAGATGGCTGAGTGGTGCTTCTGGCAAGATGACACTGATTGCTTTCTCTCCATCCAAAGTTTTTTGGGGTTTGTGGCTGTGTTTGTTCATGACAGAGCAGGGTTGCCACCTCCCAGGAGCTTGGCCTCACAGGCCTGCCAGTGCTGCCAGCAGGGTCAGCTGTGAAAATCAAGGCGTGTAGCAGGGGGTTCCATCAGGAGAGCTACCAAGCTGGTGCAAGGTCTGGAAAATAAGTCCTATGAGGAGAGGCTGAGGGAACTGGAGTTGTTTAGTTTGAGGAGGAGGAGGCTCATTGCCTTCTACAGCTCCCTGAAAGGAGGTTGTAGGGAGGTGGGAATTGGCCTCTTCTCCCTAGTGAATAATGACAGGATGAGAGGAATGGCCTGAAGCTGCACCAGGGGAGGTTTATATTGGACATTAGGAAGAATTTCTATACCGAAAGAATGGTTGGGCCCTGGAACAGGCTGCCCAGGGAGGTGGTGGAGTCACCATCCTTGGAAGTGTTGAAAAGAAATACACATATACTGCTTAGCAACATGATTTAAGCACTGAACGGGTAAATTAGGTTATCGCAGGGGGAGTTAGGTTATGGTTGGACTTGGTGATCTTCAAGGTCGCTTCCAACCAGGGTGGTTCTATCATTAGTTCCATTATTAATTCTGGGAGATGGCTGAGTGGTGCTTCTGGCAAGATGACACTGATTGCTTTCTCTCCATCCAAAGTTTTTTGGGGTTTGTGGCTGTGTTTGTTCATGACAGAGCAGGGTTGCCACCTCCCAGGAGCTTGGCCTCACAGGCCTGCCAGTGCTGCCAGCAGGTTCAGCTGTGAAAATCAAGCAGCATGTTTCACACCCCCCTTGGGTGCTACTTCCTGTGCTGAGATGATTGGAACCTTCCCTATTTGATATCTGAGAGCACCTCTTCTTTCTGTTCAGATACCAGGACAAATATGTAGATGACAAAGAGGTGTTTTCCCCCTCTGGCTTGGGATTACATCTGGGTCACAGGTAAGGGCTGCAGGGGGTGGTTTGCTGGGCTGAACAGAAGGCAGGGAAGGTTGTTTCTCCTGCTGCCCCCTCATTTGGACAGGCTTGTTGTGCAGATGGTGGAGAGTCCTGTGGAAGCAAATTAATCTCGAGGACATCCCCGTGCCTGAATTACACTGAGTGCTGTCACCCTGGACCTGGAAACAGTGGTGGCAGGCTGAGCAGAGTGCTGGGGGGCATTGCAGCTGCAGGTGGGCTCCCCGGGGGCAGCCAGACCAGGTGGGGGTTGTGCTGGGGAAGGGATGGCTCCCTGGCTTTGGGGTCCTGTGTTGCTCTGTGTATCACAGTGCTGGGCACAATTCAGGGACACCAAGGGGACAGCTTGCACTGCTTGTGTCGTAGGAAATGGCTTTCAGTAGGAGACAAAGCAGGGTGCTTTTGTCCCTGTGGTTCAGTGTCTGCCACCGGGAGGCGTGGTGAGGAGTCTGGATCAGCCTTTCCCCATTTTCCCCATTAAAAAAAAACAAACACCAAACAAACCAGATTTGAAGAACAAATCTGTGGCAAAACCAAACCCTGGAAATAAAAGGATGTGAAAAGAAGGAGTGTCCCGAGTGTTGTGCAAGGAAGTGTTGTTCGTTCAGGAGATACACTGTGCTGCTGGCACTGACCCTCCTGTGGACATTTCAGAAACAAAGTGATCATCTCCAGCCAGATTGCTTCCATAATCTTGTAACGTTAGCAAGCAATTAACAATAAGTAGAATTCATCATTACAGGGTGTTTACTGTCCAAAAAGCTTAGCAAGAGTACCTCTCCTGAGAGTGAGAATAGATGTCATGACAACAGTGAAGTTCCAAGGTTGGCTTTTAAGGAGGTCCAATGGCCTGACTATCAAAGGTGTTTAGCAATAACTCAGCAGAAAATTAAAGCAAAACCAAGAACAATCTACCAGTATTTAGACCCCATGTACCAGTACAGGTTGGGGACTGACCTGCTGGAGAGCAGCGTAGGGGACCTGGGGTCCTGGTGGACAGGATGAGCCAGCAATGTGCCCTTGTGGCCAGGAAGGCCAACGGCTTCTCCCCCTCGACTCTGCCCTGGTGAGGCCACATCTGGAATATCGTGTCCAGTTCTGGGGCCCTCAGTTCAAGAAGTACAGGGAACTGCTGGAAGCCCAGGACAGAGCCACAGAGATGCTGGAGGGAGGGGAACATCTCCCTGCTGAGGAAAGGCTGAGGGAGCTGGGTCTGTTGGGCTTGGAGAAGAGGAGACTGAGGGGCCACCTCATCCATGGGCACAAATCTGTTCAGGGCAGTGTCAGGAGGGCAGAGCCAGGCTTTGTGCAGTGATGTCCAGTGACAGGACAAGGGGCAATGGGGGCAAACTGGAGCCCAGGAGGTTCCATGTGAGTATCAGGAAGAACTTGGCTGGAGACATTCAAACCCCCCTGGACACGTTCCTGTGTGATGTGCTCTGGGTGACCCTGCTCTGGCAGGGGGTTTGGGCTGGGTGAGCTTTCCAGGTCCCTTACAAACCCCAACATTCTGTGATTCTGTGACTTGGTTGATAAAAATGGCTTGTAAACATGTCAGCATTTGCATATTAATGAGTCTCGTGCTATTAATTAAAAACCAGTAACAGTGCATCTCCATTTTTTCCTTAAGACCCAGCCATCTCTCTGAGGAAATGGATGCGTCTTCCCAGAAATGCCCAGTCAAAAAACGAGTGAAAATTCATCCCAACACAGTAACAGTGAAATACACTTCTCATTATCCCCAGCCAGGAGAAGAGGGGTATGAGGATGCTAATGAAGACACTGGAGTATTTCTGGAGGATAATCCTAAGAAAAGACTACTGAGCAATGGGACAAAGAGAGAAAGGACCTTTTTTGGTACAATAGACACCAAGCTTCAGCCAGCACAACTGCCAAAACCCGAGGAGATTGGGCAATCCCAGCATTTTGCTGCAGGAAATGGACTGCAGTCGAGGAAAACATGGGTCGTCCTGTTTGGATCTGCGGTGGCTCACGGCTGTGTGGCTCTAATTACAAGATTAGTTTCAGATCGTTCCAAGGTGCCATCCCTAGAGTTAATTTTCATCCGTTCAGTCTTACAGGTACTGTCCATCGCTGTTGTGTGTCATCACCACGAGCCTCCCTTTGGCCCCAAAGGCTACAGACTCCGCCTCTTCTTCTACGGGGTCTGCAACGTTCTCTCCATCACCTGTGCTTACACCTCCTTCTCTATCGTTCCCCCCAGCAATGGGACCATTATGTGGAGGGCTACCACAACAGTGTTCAGTGCCATTTTGGCTTTTTTACTCCTAGATGAGGGCATGGATTACATAGACATCATCACTGTAGTTGGCAGCGTGTTTGGTGTTTGTCTGGTCATGATCCCCAACATTGTGAAGGAGGAATACTCGTTGCTGAGCACCTGGAAGGAAGCTTTTGGCTATACCATGACTGTTATGGCAGGTTTGACCACTGCTCTCTCCATGATAGTCTATAGATCAATCAAAGATAACGTCAGCATGTGGACAGCGCTGTTCACCTTCAGCTGGACGGGAACGGTGTGGGGAGCATCCACCATGTTCTTGCTTCAAGAGCCAATCATCCCACTGGATGGAGAAACCTGGAGCTATCTCCTTGCCATCTGCCTGTGCTCCACAGCAGCTTTCCTGGGGGTCTACTATGCCCTGAGCAAGTTCCACCCTGCTTTGGTGAGCACTGTGCAGCACCTGGAGATCGTCATTGCCATGGTCCTACAGCTGGTTGTGTTGCGGATCTTCCCAGGCGCTTATGATCTTGTTGGGGGAGCAGTTATTTTGGTTAGTGTTTTTTTCCTTGCATATTATAAACTGTCCTGGAAGAATTTAGGAAGACAAGATTACCAGGAGATTGTGGATTCTTCCATTAAATGAGTTGTGGTTTCGCCGCCCGATTCTGGCTACGTGACCATGAGAAAGCAGCACGTTTCAGCTTTGTGGTGTTGTAGCGTAGTGGCCAGGCCCTCCCTCTGCTGTGTAAATTCACCACTGATGTAGCAATGTTGGCGTTTCCGGACTTCCACAACAGGTGGATTTGTTCTTGCGTGTACAACCGGTGATATTTTGTCCTGTCAGGAAGGGCTGTTGGTCCCCAGCACGCAGGGAAGCACAGGCTTCCCGTGTCACTGATGTGTTCCACACAGGGACAGAGGGATTCCCAGCGACCCCCATCCCTGTGCAGTGTGGTAGCAGGAACAGTAGAACCATTGAAGTGGTCACCAGTGTTCATGTCCTCTGTAACACTTCTGTGCTTTGGCTGCAATATTCAAAGTGAAGTAACGTTTATGTTTCTGTGCTTAAAACTTGCATTTCCATAAAGAGCCAGTGAAGCCTCTTGTGCTTTGTGCTGAAATTTCTGTCTAAATTGATGCAGGGAGCCCAGAGCTCCTGTGGGGGAAAGAAAGCCCTGTAAACTGGACCTCCTGTTGTGCTACAGCTGTGGAAGCAAGGTCCCCATGAACTGTAAGGTCCCTGGTTGATCCAAGATCTACCCCTGAAGATGGCAGTTGGGAGGGAGGTGTGAGCCACAGCCACAGCCACTCAACAGCCCAACAGGCAGCCAGTAGAGTTTGGGTCCCAACACATCCCTTGCAGTTTGATTTAGAAAAAGCCCCATGGTTTTAGGGGTCCCAATAGGATTCCTGGCTGTGCTCTGATGTATGTGGCTAGGAAAGAGAACCACCAGTGTTTAGGAATCTGTGTCCATGGGCTCCATGAAGCTAGGACCAGCAGACAGCTCCTGCTCCAGCAGACTGTGCCTACATTCTGGGATTTTTTGAACACTTTCTGAGGGGAAAGATATCAGCTGACCCCAACCTGCCCAACTTCCCCCATGGAAAACACATCTTACTAGGGAAAAAGTCACAGCAGCAGCAGTAGCTTTTATTTTTATGAATACCCAAGGAGACCCAGATCCCTGACACCCATCAGCCCTGCCAGCAACATTCCTGATCCGTGTGACACTGGTGTCCTCTGGTGTCAGTGATGACAGCCACCACTTGGGCCACACAGGGCAGACATAGCTCCTTGGGTGCTGCTACACACTTAGGGCTACCCTGACAACTCTGTTTCCCTTGGGAGCACGTGGAGCCACAGGAGCTCTGCCTGCTGGAGGAAGGGGAGCATGTCAGGGAAATCTGTGCCCAACACCTGCCCAGCCAAAACCCCTTTGGCAGCTGGGGGTCCTGGCTGTGGCAGGGCACTTCCCAGCCCAGCATCTTGCTGTGCCTCTGTCAGCTCCTCGTGTCCCTCTGGGGCAGATGGTCTTTCTTCCTCTGAGGGATAAGAGAGCAGGAAAGCTTCCCCTGTAGAAAGCAAGCAGGGCAGGAGGCTCCATCTGCTACAGCTTCCATGCTTGTCACGCCCTGGAGGGAGTCAAGCTTTGAGATGCTGTCATGCCAACAGGCAGGCAGCTGGGCACGTGCTGGCAATTGAGGAGCACCCAGCAGCACCTGCACTGTGCAGTGGGGATGACAAGAGGCCTGAGCAAACTCTTGATGAGCTGCCCCAGCCTCAAAACAGCAGAGCCCCCTCCTCAGCACAGCTCCCCACTGCCCCCTGCGCCAGCAACCCTACCCCAAGAACCTGGGTGATGGCTGGGCAGCGATGCCAGGGCTCTAGGGGGCTTGGTCCTGGTCCAGCTGTGCCACGGCCTGCACGAGGTCCTGCACAGCTCTGTCCACATCTGCACGGGTGGTGTCTCGCCCCACGCTCAGCCGCAGGGCGTTCTGTGCCACCTCGTAGGGGATCCCACAGCTGAGCAGAATCGAGGAGGGCCTGAAACGCAGGGCAGGGACCAGTGGGGTCAGCTCGAAGGCCACGGGGGCACACACACAGCACGAGAAAGCTTCCCCAAGGAGTCTGCTGGGGACCTGAACTAGGCTCGAGCAGCCGAGCCAGGCAGACCTAGACACAAGGCAAGCTGTTCTGGCAGTGCCAGGCACCAAAGAGTAGCTGCAGGAGTGCCAGGCTCAGCTGGATCACCGAAGCCAAGAGGGACAAAGTCCTTCCAAGCAGCACTCACTTCAGTGCACTCACTTGCCCCGCAGCCCTTCAGTCCCCCTGGAAAGCTCTGCACCCTCCCTGCTGCAGGTGACGCTGCCCACAGCCACCCCCGGGCCACCTCTCTGTCCTGTTTCCCCC